CCATTTTCCAACAAATTTTCAGCGAAACACCACTAATGCAGGCAATAATCGCTGACGAATTCCACTAATGCTTTCCCACTGAATTCGACGGCAAAATTCTGAGAAGGTCAAAGGGGCCTAAGATTAATATCCATCAGTTGCAATACTCATGGAACACAATTTCACTGTAAAACGACACCAAGTTAGAGCAGCAATTGCGCGCTAAGAATGGTAACACAACCAAAGAAAGGAGGTTAGGCGGTGTTTGAGGTGAATTTGATATATATATATATATATATATATATATATATATNATATATATATATATATATATATATATATATATATATATATATATATGATTCATGGGCCATGTAGTGAGTGGTATCTTGTGAATGGGAAATCGGAATCGAAAGATTCCCCTGACAATTATAAGACGAAGACTAATTATAAGACAAAACTATGGAGATTATATATTCAGATCCACTTAATTGATAATCAACCGCGTGAAATTGTGATGATAAATTATGCCATTGCATCTGAGAACTATATAAAATAATATGTTCATATTAATCGAATGATTAATTTCTTCAACAATGGGACTGAAGATGCAGACACCAAGTGCCGAGCACGCGAAGTGCGCTTTATAATGCTACTCTATTATACTAAAGGAAAAGACCAAATCCCGAAATTGCAAGGTATCGATTTTTTTTAATCGAAAATGAAAATATCGATTATAAATGCAAACAACTGTCGAGTATCGATTATTAGAAAAAAAAATGACAGTTTGCGTTGATGAAGATTGAGCCATGGATAAGGTTGAAAACTTTTGCCGAGGGCGCGAAGCGCGCCTTATAGTGCTAGTCCTATCTACATATAAAAGGAGATACATTCGATATATCGATATATCTCGAATCGTGCAAGTAATATATCGGTATATCCTATCTATAAAAGAAGATACATTCAATTTCATATTTTCCAATTTGCTCATGTTTATCATGCACAAAATTGATTCTTTTTGTATTTTCATTCATCATGTAAAATTTATGAATTTCATTAATTTCAATTTTTTTCATTGTCTTATTTTTTGCGAATGTAATAAATTTAATTCGCTCTCATTTTGACGTGGATACGTCTATGGTTTCATTATGGGGGGGTCGGTCATTTTGGAAAACGGTCCTTATTTTTAGTGCCATTTATCGGAATTCTAGAAAAATCTAGACATTTCGAGGTAATTCGAGAAGTTTCTTGAAATTTCGAAAACATTGAAGGAGTTTCTAGATTTTTCGAGGGAATTCGAGGAGTTTCTAGAAAATTCGAGGAAATTCATGGAGTTTCGAGAAAATTCAAGGAGTTTCTGGAAAATTCAAGGAAAGGCAAGGAGTTTCTAGAAAATTCGAGCGAATGCAAGGAGTTTCTAGAAAATTCGAGGGAATGCAAGGAATTTTTAGAAAATTCGAGAAAGAGAGAGAGAGAAGGAAAAACCATAGACGTATCTACATTAGGATGGCTCATATGTAAAAAAAATTGAATTTCATAATTTTCGTGTTTGATAAGGATAACCAATGACATGGAAAGTACATGTGAATTTTTTCAAAATTTTTGAATCATTTTTCAAGATTGCGCCGTGTAGTTTTATTTCTTATGGACTTTTACACACATCGTAGAGATCGCATGTGTCAATAATTTTTGGAAGACTCAATTATTACATCCCTCGGTGTTTCCCCTTCGTGAACCGTTCAGAGGGAGGTTTAAGAACAGAATTAATTTTTGTCTCAACAGAAAACTTATTACTTATCAAAATAAAAATCCTCATTTCTACTCAATTCAGTGATTTTTAGACGTCTCTAGCACGCTGGGTATCTGGCCGTTTTTCATCCCGATTCGGTTGATGGATTATGAAACTATCTGACAATAATTCAAAGAAAAAAATTTTGTTCCCCACCAATAGAATTGTGAAAAAAATGCGAAACATAATTCCTAAATTTCCAGTAAAGACAGGTGTCCGGCTCATGCGGTGCTTTTACAACAGTCGTAAGCACAGAAATTGAGCCTAGGCAAAAAATTTGACCTGCCAAACTAACCTGCGCTGGGAAGGAACTGAACTCGCATCGTAGAGCTGCTTTAAAATTTAGCTGAAATTTTGTATATAGTTTTCATGTTTTCGGATGATGCATTCATGAATAAACGATAATAAAAGAGGAAAACTTTCTATGATGACTATAGTGCGTCAGTAATACGCTTCAGGCGGCAGAAGGGTGCAAGGAAAAACCACGATAATGTCAGGGAGTGGTGGAAGAGGAGATTCCATTCATTAGGCCAGAAAAATTGTTCTTCAATATTTCATGTATCAAGTTTTTAATAACTTCTTTTTCTTTGGTTTTTTGTATTTTTTACTCTTTGATTATTTTTGATATATTGAGAATTTTATATTTCCCATATATTTGAAAGAAGTGTCAACTACATTTGTAACAAAAAAGGCATTAGACAAATTTAACTTAATCCGAAGGAATCCTGGGAGCGTTTATTCAACTCAGAAGGTCAATTATACTTATTCCCTTCAACTCTATTTTATATCATTATTTTTCGAACCATTTTGATTAATTTCATACGTTTTCCTTCAGATTAAAAAAATATATTGTGCCTGTGAGGACTATCCAATTCTCAATATATCCAGAATAATCAAAGACTAAAGAATACAAAAAAAACAAAGGCGAAGTTTTTAAAAAATTGTTACATGAAATGTTGAAGGATTATTTCGCTGATCTAATGAATGGAATCTGCTCTTCCACCACTCCTTGACATTAGTGCTTGACATTTGCCTTACCACCATTCTGCCAACTGTAGCGCTACTGACGAACCAGTTATCACAGGTTTGTCCTTTATTATCATTCTTTTATGAATGAATCATCCAAAAACATGGAAACTATTTACAAAATTTCTACCAAATATTACAAAATATCGGTCGGTATATAAGAAAAAAAGCCACTAGTACTTCCATTTTTTAATAATATTTCTGGCGGACTGGAAAAGGCTCGAGACTTTTTCTATCGCTGGCAGATTTGTGAGAATCAGGGAGCGGCGGATATCATGAACATCTATGATTATATGAAGTTGGATAAATTCGATTTCTGCATTTTCACAACGAACAGGTAAGCGCGCGTACAGGTCTAGTAATCAAAACCCACCATACGACTTGGATTCATATAAACGTACAGATCAAAATCCGCATTGAAAATTTTCAACTCCTCCAGAAGACTTTCACGTGCAGTGGGAACTTTTCATGTGGCCACAAGGAGTATACTGAATTTTGTAGACTCAAAAGTTTTAATAATTGCGATTGCATAATATGTACTGCCGTCCTAATATTAGTTATGAACAAAAAACCTCAACCCGAATGTTCAGGTTTTTTATTCATAGCTAATGTTAGGATGGCAGTTAGCGTTTTGTTATTATGCTTCCAGTTTTAAGTTTTATGGAATTTAGAGTTGAAATCATCTTCGAAAATCGATGGTACAAAATAAGTTGCCCTAATGAAAAGTGGATTTACTACTTGAAACGCTGGCAGAAAGGCAAATGATTGAATAGTTTACTTTATTTTTGGCGTTAGAATTGCTGTGGACCGCGAAATGGTTTGGAAAAGTGGGAGAAATATGAGGATTTTTCCGTACTGATCTTCACTTTTCCTCGTCCGGGGATTGGTATTGGCCCTTCCCCAAACTTGTAAAAGTGAAAATCACTATGGAAAAATATCGTTCACTATTACCATGTGGTTTTTTTACTCGCGTGGAGTTGGCGTCTGAGGCGAAGCCGAGGACTGGCCAACCACGCGAGTAAAAAAACCATGGCGCTTGCCCTGGAATATACTATTTGTCATTACGGTCGTAAAGCGCCCGGTCGTAAATCGCTGCTTATACCCGTTATGACAAAAAAAAAAATTCCAACTCATATGAGTGCAATCTTTGTCTTCGACTCGGGCTGCAACCTCATATTCGTCAGAAGTTTCTTTTAAGCCTTATGTAGAAATCCATTATTTTTCATCATCGTCACGCACTATGATTCCCGAACTGAGGGCACGTGCACAGCGCGTGAACATGCGACACTGGAATTGCAAAAAAAAAAACAAGATTCTTCGAAAAAAAACTCCTCAAATTCGTCAATATCTCCTTCATCCATAATTACGTATTCCTCCACGTTTTTATATGTAACCATTAACATTCCGCAAACAATTACGCAGCCAACGGTCCACATGCCTAAACATACGTTGCCTCCTCCGATCACAATGAAAAACAGAGAATTTCCCTGAATTCGTTCTGAATTCTTCTCAGAACGAATGAATAAAAAATCCAATAGCAAAAGAATAAAAATTAATTAATTAAATCAATCAACAAATGTTCTTCCAAAGGCTTACATATTAACGATTAAACGTCGAGACGTCTATCCGTTGAACCTATTGATTTTCCCCAAGAGTACATAAATCCATATAAGCCACGTCTGATTTATATACGGCACCGTCAAAAGGGGCAGTCTCTCGCACAGAGTACATTAACAAGATGTCGGCTTTTCAAAGAAAAAATCCAGCACTCTTTCTTCTAGATTTCCTGAACTGCTATCTACCCATGCTCCTTAACAAAAAAAATGCTAACAGAAAAATTGAAAATACTTTCCCCGCGTTTCATTGCATTCCTCTGTTCATGATATACCCATAGTGGAAGCCGGTGCCCACATACTCTACAATCTGCCGGTCGGTTTCCCACAATTCCATCCAATACCCTCTACCAACCATTTTACCCCATATACCTAGCGACAAAAAACCGGTTGCAATATGTTTTGTAAAAATTACCTGAGGTACATTATATAATCTTCATTTTCCTCAATGAGAATGAAAGAAAATGAAGAAAGTTGTAGGAAACGTGGTACTAATTAATGTCTGGGTATATGCCACGCGGCAGGGGAGGTGTCCCTACTTGTAATGAATAAAATAATTAATTTCACGAATAAAAAACTATTATGAGCATTACCTCCTCAGTGTAATGAGCACAGCGTGCAGCCTCGGGATGTCAACCAACTCCTTCAGAAACTTGTCGAAGGTATCAAATAAACTGATTAATAAACTTGATTCGACACGATTGATGATCGACACTATTGGATTCCGTCTGATGCACTGGCAAGCACCACCACTCCCCGAACAGTTTATGCTCACGTGTTGAATTGATTTTTCGCTGTATTTATTCTAGTCTCCGTTAAAATGAATGTCTTCACAGATTCAAGTACTTTGTTGTTAAATCAATTGCGCCTCTAGTCTTATTTTTTGTATTGCAAATTGAATACTGAATGTTTTTATGATAGTGCGTTATGTACAATATTCTTTGCTGTATTGAAGAGGTTTGAAGAACAGAACGTTACTAATACACGACCAATGACGCACTGAACGAGCTTCAAGCAGAGTTACCTAACTCACTGTTACCGACGATCGAACATGGCGCCATCTCCCGCATGGGGTAATACTAATTTTACTTGGGGTCACTCAAACCTCCAGATTCGGACCGATACTCGGGTCGGCTGATATCCTCGTATTGGGGACGCTACATAAAAATGCGAGACCTTGTGGGCCCCTGGGCAACTAGAAAACATGGCGGATCTCAGCATTCTGACTGCGCGGCGACTTGAAAACTGTAAACACCTGCTCCAAAAGTTTATTAAAAATGAGTTCGTCTGGGAAAGTTCAGGAGAGGAGAATAATAAAAATTAGTAGAAAATGTTGCGTTCTGGGATGTAGGAGTACATCAGTGAATAGCCCAAATTTGAGTTTTTATCGAGTTCCACCGCAAGACCGACCGCTGTCAGTGATAACCTCAAAAAATGGTAGTGAAATTAAAGCCATTCATATGCGGGATCTATGGATTGAAAAATTGCAAGTTCATAAATTATTGAAAAATTCACGTGTCTGCAGTTTGCACTTTTTGTCTACTTGTAGGTTTCGTAGGTTTTGAAGAAGGGAAACCGTACACAAGCGAATATTGTACTATTAGATTTATTCGCCAAAGCGTGTAACGTGGTATACAATATAATTATAAGTGGTTGAAAAGCGTGTGACTGATAGTGCGACTGATCAGCATCGTAGTCGAATCGTACTGACTCTGCTCTAGTCGAGGCACCTGTGTGAGTGTGCTCTACAGGTGCGTGTGGGTGTAGATGTAGCAGAGCGCTACATACTGACTATGTCCTCTCAGGTAAGCCATTTATTAATTGACAACACGACCCTGATTCTGAAGTGAATACAATATGTATTCTCAATTAATTTCAGAGTATTCCGGAGAGTGCACGATGAAACGACGTCTGCTCAATAAATATGCGATTCCTAGCCAAAATTTACCGTCCTGTTCAAACCCACATCGCCAGCAAGAGTTTGGAGAAAATCCATTGTCATCGCCGTCTGCACGAGGCAGTACGTCCCCATTCCAAAAAGCGGATCTCTTAGAGACAAATGTAACGCCACGTACCCCTAATTCTGCATCTCCTGGTACCAGAGGGAGTACATCCAAATTCAAGGTAAAAGATCAACTCTCGCTCTCCCTTGAATCATACGAGGTTATTCAGTAGCGGAGTAATAATGGATATTCAATAGCAGAGTAATAATGGGTGATAAGTCGACTGTGACCCATTTGATTGAAAATAGAATTATCTCGATAATCACTGATTTTTTAAGGAAAAATCAAGAGACTTTTCCTGTAGAAAATGTTTTGGAATACAAAAAACTTTCCCTGAAGTGTCCCTTGAAAATTTCTCGTTCCCCAGAGAAATGAACAGTTATCGAGATCATCAAATTGGACTTATTACGATTTACTCCTTGTCTACTGTATTAGGATTGAGGCACTCGTTTAGTCCCAGCCCCAGAAATTTCTTGCATTCATCTGAATCTTTATTTGAAATCTCTTTGATGGATCACGAGAACTTTTTATTATTAATATTTATGTTTCATCCCCAGGTGACTCAATTGTTTGAAGGAAGAGATGTAGTTAAATGTGATCTGCGCACAATATTTGATGTTCTCAATGATGTCAGGTGTGATAATCCAGATTGTCCGGAAATGCAGTTGTCCGAATCACTGCATACCACTGTCGACAATTTAGAAGAGCCTGAGCCGGAGGACCTCGACCCTGGTATGCGAGTACCCACCGGAGATACGACACATATCGACGTCTCTGTACAAGTGGACTCCCGAGATTTAGCAAAACACGCAGACGTCTCTATACCATTCGCCACCAGAGATCGGCCCCCACACGTCCATGCTTCTGTACAAGTAACGAGTGGGAATATTTATTCGCCCTTTTCGACAAAAATAACTACTGACCACCAACTGTCAGTTTTATGCGGAATCAGAAATCATAAAATCTTGGATCGCTTAATATTAGAAATAACCACCATTTATCCCGAACAGCGAAAACATAAAATGACATTGCGAGAACGTGTTATTATGACAATGATGAAATTGAAAAATGATCTCAAGTTTTCGTGCTTAGCAGTAATATTTAATTGCGTAGCTGAATCAACGTGTCGAGCGATTTTCGTAGATACTCTACAAAAGTTAGCCAGAATTTTGCAAGTTTATCATACTGAACTGGCAAGATGACGATATTATCGACCTTAGACGAATAAATAACAAAATCACATTTCTTTAGGTTCAAGAGAGCAAGACCGCATTGTACCTGACCATAATACTGGTGTTTAACTTTAAGTTTAATTGTCTTATTCTCGTACGTTAAATAATCACAGGTTTCTAGGAGATTTTCTGGTTTTAGATCTGGCAAGTCAAGTGGACATTTAATCTCTAAGAGTAGTTGAGGAATTCCTTTATGCATGACAATCCCATCAGGAGAGTAACCAAGCCAAGGGTTGTGATCAGAGACTATTAATCCAGTGCAAATGACATCAAAAGATCGATACTCAACATAAACTTCTCTGGCTCTCGGTTCCATTTCCAACCCATGCTTTACATATTTATTGGTGAATGTTGTGGGCCAGAAATAAGAAGTTGCTTTTCGGCCCCAGTCTTTTTTCTTATTTTTCTCATTTTGATAATAAGTGAAAAGCGAATAACATCGGCTACCAGTAATTCGAAATTTTCGTTCCTTCTTCCAATTGGTCTCATTCCCAGAAGTGTTTTCTGCAACACTCAGTGCATCAAAACCGAAAATAATAGCTTCATACTGACATCGGCAACAGTCCCTTACACCAACAGGTAAATTTACTAATTCATTCATGACCACAGAACGACCAGCATTCAGTATTATTGCTTTAAAAGCAGAATTATCTGATGTCACACTATTTGATGGGGGAACCTGGGACGAAGCAAGAGTCTGGAAGGAAGCAGGAGTTTTTCTCATGCACTTTTTATGTTTTTCGAGTGAAGAGTCCAAGTCACAATCCACAAACGAATCATAAATACGTTTTCTAACAACCTCAGGCAGCTCAGGAATGGTCTTTTGTAGACAACAGCAAAAGGAAGAGAGAGGAGCAGGTTTGTATTGTTGCAAGGCTTGACCTTTCAGTCTTCCCCACATGCATTTTACGTCAGTACTTGACACCAGCTCGAACCCACGAATGTCATTTCTATTGTGAGATAAAAAAAAAGTGAGAAAAACTATCGAAGCAATGCATATTGAATGAGAGAAAAAATCTTACTGTGTGCAGTACAACAAAACGGCAACGATGTGCTTGCACTCTTGGCTTAATCCAGCTTTACACGTACAACTCATACTTTTAATGGAAGCTGATTGTGCAACCGAGTCATCAGCAATAATAATGCCTGTTATGACATGTGGCGATTCCGATAAACCACTTGTTTTCACACATAATGCGTACAAGTGAACTTTGTTTGGACTTGTTGATGTCATACCACAGCGAATCAGATTTTTTGAGGTTAACACTCTCAGACCTTCTTTCATATTTCTCGACTTTTCATTACTCTTTACGAACTTGAAAATTTCTTCCAATGTTAACGTAAGCATTGTGACAACATTTATTATGCAATTAATTGTAAATATATGGACGCAAAGCAACTGTACACTGCTCAGCACTGACAGTTGTTGTGCCCAGTGTATTTTATGCCGCTCAAATTTGAACGGGAAAACCTGTAATCCACCATCTTGTTTCAGCGTCACGAGCGCCGCCATCGGTAAATAGCGGTCCCAATCCGAAAGCCAAATGCAGTGCTGTAACCAAAGAGGATTGACTAAAGTAGTGGCTCAGATCTCGGGGTTGGACTGACCCCAAGCCAAAAGTAGTTCGACCCCAACGGAGGGATGCCGCCACGGTCGAATCTGACGGCTGGGCGAACTGCCTGTGCGGGTAACTCGGCAGTAGCAGTCCCGCTGTCACAGGGATAATTTCGGAGTGACGTTTGTGTCCTCCTCGCCCTCAGCATGTTCTTAATGTTTTTCAGGTGATTCATTTGCTGGCTAATTAATATTAAGGAATGAAACACAGAGGGTGTGACGGAGAATTAAATTCCCCATCAATCGATCCCCGTTGCATCCCTTAATCTCTGTAACAAAAAAATACAAACT